ATGTATGTATGTATGTATGTATGTATGTATGTATGTATGTATCCTATTTATCCTATTTAAGAATTGTCAAAGTCGTGAAAGTTAAAATTTTTGTGTTTCAGCTCGTATGCTTTGTTTCTTGAATTTTCAGCCAGAACACATCCCAAGATCTTTGGCCTTTTGTCATCTCGGAAACTGGGCTGAAATCTCTCATATGGAACCAAGGCAAAATTTGTCTTAGTAAACAGGTCAGCCCAGCCTGCCAGGCTCATGAGATGAGGCCCTTGTATTGCATTGTTTATTGTTAACTTAACCAGGGCTTGACTCATCGGTTATGGTTGAAGAGGTAAACCCTGGCCTAGGGGGAGTACCCCAGATTTTAAGTGACAGGGAAGATCAAAGGATTTTTTGGGGTTTAAATTCTTTATATCAGGATCTTTTTGGGTAGGAAAATTTTGGCATGTATTTTTTGGGGTAGCTTGATTTTAGGAGGGACTTTTTAGGGTATTCAGCATAACAATCTGAACATTCATGACAGTTCCTGTGTATCCCGGCTGCATAGTTCCGCCAATAAAGTAACGTACAGTAGTTCATAAAGCATGTAACAGAATATGTTCTTGAGTGTCTGGAGTGTTGTGACAATGATCACCAGATGTTAAATGTTAAAAACATTCCATTAAGTACGTACTGATGTTTCTATTTTTCGTGTTATTATCATTTACTGCTTTTTGGAAATTTTTATGGCTCGGAAATTCAGTATGGGATATTTGGGGGTAAAATTTTGGTCCAGGGATGTTTTTTGGGTTTTGTTTGAAGCTCTAAGAATTTTTTTGGGTATTGATTTTTGCCCCCATTCGATCATCTATGTCACTTGAAATCACGAGTACCCCCCCTGGGTCCCCTGGGCTACTGTAAGTACAAAAATTGAGCTAGCTCATTTAATCGGGTGCAATAACTTACAGAGTTACAGTTATAGTTAATTAAAGAACAAGATCACTCTAGACACTCCATTTTTAAAAATCAATAGAGTTGACTGATAGACTGAGAGGGCAAATCAATAGTTATTGTTGGACTGGTTGAATTTTTTCTTTAGTCTAAATAATATTTCCTTTGTTTCAAGGCATAACCATACCCACAAACGAAAGAAAATAAAATTCAAACCAAGGACGGACTTGAACCATAACATACATATTAAAACATCCTTTAACCTTCACAGTACTGTAAACTGAAACCAAATTAACAATCATAGCTCTTCACAATGTTAGACTCTTTGCACAAATTACATGTAAGCTTATATTTTTGGAGACCATAGTAAGACACTAGTACGAGTAACACCACCAAACATTTTCCTACACAGAGCCCAGAGCAATCGGCTATCAAAGTTGAGCTAAAGGTCGTTTAGCAAATAAAACTTGTTTACCGAAGCACTCTTTTCAAATGGTTGCTCTGTTGACAGGACATTTTGAAACTTGACCACTACAGAATACCACAAATACAATACCACAAAATAAAAACAATACATTATTCAATATCAACAAAAAGTTACTACGTTACCTGGTTATCGTTGCTAGATGGAACTTCACTCATAGCCGCTTCAATAGCTTTTTCGACCAAATCTCCTGCGAACACCAAGAAGTCAACTTTGATACCAGCGTCAGTCAGCTTATTTCGTTCCGCATTCGAATCCGCATCGGCGTATTCTGCCATCGAGGTTTTCATCTCGGAGACAAAGCTTATCGTTAACTGGAGTCATCTTCTTTGAACAGCTTCACGGGTAAAACAGACCTAATTTTCCTATTCACTAACTACTTATCATGTCACAGAATGCCTAACTGTTTTGTGAATCCTTGCGGAGTTGCGGTCGCTTAGTAACCGCCTTTTGTTCTCCTTGGCGCCAAGCCCGGTGTTCTCGAATCATCAATCACTAATCAATAGTATTTCCAGTTGTAAATGGTAAATAATTCGTAAAATTATCTAAACGATTACACTCCACACTTCAGGTTACTTCCATCTACAGTATAAAAAACGAAAAGAGCACTAAGTTAAAAGTTGAGGTTTAAACTTTCATCTGTGACTTCGTAGGAAAGTCAAATAACCCACCCTTCCCTAGTGCTATAAGCCATACGAAACGAAAGAAGCCTGGGATTGACACATCCATCATGGCGGCCTCTCGAGTGCCGCATTGCTTGAAATGGACTTTTCAGACTTTTAGGATTTTGTCTACTAGTTATTCGCCATTCAACAGAATAAGGACTCCATATTTAAACAAAAGCATTTTGAGGACAATAATCTCTGCGCAAAAACGACTGTATTGTGCTAATGCGGGATCAGACGATGCAGAAACAAATGGCGTACAAGGCTCATCTCCGAGGAACCTATTGGAAGTGTATCAGAACGATCCTTCTTTGCTCCATGGACCTAGGGACGCTTTAAAACCTCTAACAGAGGAATACGTCGAAAAAGAGTTACAGAAATCCAGAGGGGTGCGTTTTAGACGCCCTGTAAAGATTAACCCTGATAAAGTTGGATGGACTACTGGCTCTAAGAGAGTGGGAACTATTGGTATTAAGCTAGGCATGTCAGCGCTCTGGCTTAAGGATGGAAGGAGAATGCCAGTAACTTTACTTCAGGTATAACATATAAAAGCATCTTAGGAACTATTGATAATTGAGGTCTTTGTGAATCCCAGACTTGCCAACTCGCAAAAGGCAAGAATTTTAAGATTCTAGAGCTGGGAAAAGTAGCGAGTAATGAAAAAAATAGGGAGATGTCCCAAATTTTCTAGTGGAAGGACTTTCAGTAGGGATAATGGGTATTTCAAGCACCTACAATGGAACTTCAATATAACGAACCTCTATATAACAAAGTCCTGGGTATAACAAATGATTTTCTTTACCCCAGCAATAGTAAAATATGAGAAAAAGAATCTCCTTATAACAAAACATCGTCATAGCAAGCAAATTTCACCAGTCCCTTGCCCTTCGTTATAGCGAGGTTCCACTGTATAAGGAACATGTTTACACATGCTTGTTGGCAGTCGTCTTGAAATGAGATAGTAAGGTTTATTTTAACAATGAGTCTGCGCATTTGGTGGCAATGACAAGTACCTTCAAGTCATGGGAGGATGAAGAATATAAAGAATGCATCAAGTTGCAGTGTTCAATCTAGGCCGTGTTTTTGCGTCATTGACGTGAAATATTCTATTCAGATGCAAAATGAAATTATCGTGGAATCATACTGACATACAAAAGTTACCTCATAAATTAGTTCTTGCAAAGCAGCAGGTAATAATAGAAGTAAATTTTAAAAATAGGTGTGCTTACTAGCCTAAAATGAGGCTGTGTGCGAAATGACTGTCATTTCAGACTATATGCTTACGAGTAGTTTTTGTGTTAGGCGTCGTTCCAGGTAATTCCAGGAGAGACTAGAGTATACATTTCAACTTTCCACACACATTACTTTGCCGATTGATTCACGCTTCATTTGTTGACGTTGTTCTTTTGTTTTCGTTTCATTATGAAATGACAACAAAAGCTAAGTTCATTTTTTAAGCCAAAGAGAATGGCAGTTGAACCCGAAAAGCATGAAGATGGGCTGGATAAGGATGGTGGGGAAGCTGGAGAAGTTAGTTCAGTGATATGTCAGCAATTGTTCAAAGTTTTAATATTATAGTTTGACCCAGACCATTTTTGAAATGACCCAATTTAAAATACATTGTGGGACACATGACCCACTTTGACTAATTTCTAGATTGAATGCTGAAGTTGGCAATTCAAATGTTTGCTAATCAAATGTAACCACCAAGTGTTTTCTACGGATCCTAGGGGGGAATACCCCTGGGAATTCTTGGTGGGGGTGTGCCGCCCATTTGTCCAAACTCTGACCCTATTTCAGACCAAAAAATGTCATTGTCCACACCCGTTTTTAGACCTGTTGTTCAATAACTACCAGGCGGGCAGTTATTTCTTCCCCTCTCTGATTCTCTTAAAATATCAGTATCTAGGGCCCATTTCTTAAATGTCCTAGGAACTCTTCATGCCTGAGAGCTCAAGACTGAGGTTTCAATAGTTTTGCAGATGACATGCTAAAACTAATTTCTCAGTTAGCCAAACATAATGGACTATTTTCTGAGCTTGGGCCAGCACTTTTAGTCTTAAGATTTTGATCTTATATTAGGCTTATCAGTTTTCAGGACTTTGGAAAACCATATCCGTCTAAAGAGTTTACATGTTCATGAAAGTAATCTTGAGTACTAGTGCTTCCTTCCCAAAATTCCATGCTGTTTATATGTAACAGGTATTAGATCTCACAGGACTAGTAGCATTAAGATGAATCCACCAGGAAATTGAGTAATTTTAATATCAGTGGACAAAAACTTTGTACCAGAATAATTTGTAGAATATTGCATTCTGTTTTACATTTTTCAAGGACTAAAGATGTAATTTATCATCTGTAATAATACCAAAGAAAATGTCTCATGGGGGTAGAAAATAAATGTCAAATTTCACAAGAATTTTGAAAACACAGGTAAAATTCTAAAAATTTCATGAACTGTAAGATGTCATTTTGTAAAATTTGACATTTATTTTCTCTGGCTCCCATAAGAAATTTAGTTTGGTGTTATTACAGATGACTTTATATTACATCTTTAGCAATTGAAAAATGTAAAAACGAATGTGATATGCTTTAAATTATACCAGTACAAGGTTTTTGTCTCCTGAAAATTAATATTACTCAATTTCCTGATGGATTCCGTCTTAATACATTTTTCTTGGGAAAATATTTGCATAAATGAAGATGAAAGACTGTCAAGTTGTTCAAGCCAGGATAAGCAGGGAACATGGGGGTAATGACCACAAAACAGAGCTGCAAGTTGGATCTTTGGATGAAACTCAACTGTACAAGGTGATAAAAACTGTGTTGCTTCATAATATTAAATATGTTTTAGCTATCACTGGTAGTTTCTTGTTAAAAGTACTATGATTCTTAGTTATTGCCAAAATGTCAAGTACATGTTTAGCCTGATATTAAGGGTATATCTATATTTTTAACATACAGTAAACCTTCTTTGATATATGCATTGTTATAGGGTACAGAAATTGCACCAAGTGGTCCTGTAGTATAACTGTGCATTGGTTAACGTGTCCATGTTAAGGTCAGGAGAACTTACACTATATTCAATGCTGATGTTACATTTGAGTTTCATTTTATTTTATAATTTGCAGGTAAAGAAGGCTCAGTTTGGTCACTTTAAAAAGTATGGAGTTAATCCAAAGAAAAAGATGAAGAGTTTCCTTGTAACTAGAAATGCACTTCTTCACCCAGGTAAGAAAGCTATAGACACGATTGACAAAAAAAAAAAGTTAGAATGTTTCAGATGAGACGACTGCAACATCTGTCTTCTTTACGTTATTTATCAATAAATTGCAGTAGGCTTGGTAACAGCAGTGATGGTGCCACTAGCAAGGCCTTCTTAGGAGGGGGCAAGGGAGTATGCGTAACCTAGTCTGAATTTCAAAACCTGTCATCTTGCATCTTGAGGAAGAAGTCATGTCCCTGTCAATATTTTTCTATTTTATCTGTCCTCATCACTATTCTAGTTTCAGCCGGCCTTTAATTTAGTTGTCGCCATTTCATCTGTCTCATGTCACTGTTTGAAGGCCATGTCGCTTGTCAGAATTTTCTGTAACAGGGGCTCACAGGAAGTCACTATAAGCCCTTTAATGGGTTTTATTACTGTAACTGACAAGTTTAACTCATGTATGTGTGTTGTTATGTCTGATGTGGGAAATGAAAACAGACATGGGCACAGACCAGATCACTGGTGAGTTTAAATGGCAGTGGGGGTTCCCTTAAGTCCACCTCTCATTTTAATTGTTTTCTTTTCTCTAATTTGTTAATTGTCATTATTTAATTTTGTTTTTCCGCTAGGAACTCCTCTTTATGCTGCTCACTACTATCCAGGACAATTTGTTAAAATACAAGGCATCACGTATGATACCCCCAAAGTTGTTTTATTTTAAAAGATAATAATCATAGTAGCCTTCTTGCAGTTGTTGTTCTAGGAGTTTTTACTACAGAGTCATCACGAGATTAATCATTTGATCTGTAAAGCAGTTCCCATTTTGTTCTCAATTTTTACCTCATTTTGTTTTAGTTCTTTAAATCTCATCATCTTATGATATCTTCCATATTAGTTGTACTGTTATATATGCGGAATTAGGGGTGGGTCCAGGGGGCCCTGGCCCCCCCGTTTGTGCAGGAATTTTTTTTTTTGTAAACGTGTGTTGGATGGTACTTCGAGCTTTGTTACTTAAGTATATCTTCTTTAATAAACATTGTTAATAAGAAAATATATCAAACATTTTCTTTGCCAGGAGGTTGTGCTCTCGCCACTATTGCTTCGGCCCCTGCTAGCATAAATTATTTCTTTGACCACAACCACACCTGTGGTTTATTAAATATTTCAGCATTACATGTTCAATATGGAAATATCCAGGCATTTGCTAAATTTAAGCGTCCAGAATGCACCAGATTGCATCTCAGAGAACTTCAATCTCAAAAATTTTCCCATGCACTCAAAACTCCCCAGAAAAGTGCGCCATTTGCAGTCCTGATGGGCACTATCACGCCCATATTGCCACTGTATACTATATCTCTAGGCCCACTCTAGCACAAAATCCTCTGTCCACCCCTGATAGGAACAATTTTACGTACTCAAAAGGTTGGGCAGTCTGAGTATATATCAGGCCATAAGGAATCCCTTATTCTTAAACTCTTCCCCACATTATCACACAGAAAAGACCGAGGTTTTCAAGGTGTTATGAAGAGATGGAAGATGAAAGGTCAACCTGCATCACATGGTCAAACAAAGACACATAGAAAAATGGGAGCTACTGGAGGTGGAACGGTATGTACCACATTACTGAAATTATCCATAAAATAATGCTAGGGGAGATGGTTAGTTAGGTATTCGAAAGGACGTTTTGTAGCTACTTTTGTGATGAGGTGATAAAATGTTGCAACACATCATATACTCCAGGAGTAGAATTGTACAGGGAAGCCACTGGCGGAGAAGGTAAGTACCCCCATGGTTAACTTTAAAACTGTTTCAAGGTAATGGCACAGGAAAATAGAAGCTTACGGCTGTCACTAAAATTTCAACTTGCCCAGCTGATATATGCAATTTATTAACTAGTAGGCAAGGAATTAAATGTTCAGGAAGTTCTTTTGGTTTTATTTTTCTTTTGTTTTCTATAGAAATACCTGGGGGTAATGTTCATAGTAGCAAGGGGATATCCCCGTCCCCATCTCAGCATGTATCCTAGGGGTACAAAATACACTCCTCTGCAACAGGGTAATAATGGTATCAGGTATTTCATCACAGCATGAGTAGAAGAAATTAATGTTTGTTCTGTTTTAAGTTATAATGGATCCCGACAATTAGTGGCTCCTTTGGCCAACTAAGTCCTATTGCAACAGTCTTTAACAAAAATGGTTGCCAAAAATTATACAATAATTGTATAATTTTTATTGTTTGGCAAAATTTGCTGAATTGCCATTGGACTACTGCGGTTATGTCTGTTCATCTATGTAACTAATGTCAGTCAAACCTAATATATTACATAGCCAACCTTCATATAGCAGCCAGTTAGCAGAGTGTGTCCCTGTTAACAATGTAAACAGCACTTTTTTTGACAAGCCGCTTATGCTTTCCTTGAGGATGGCAACTCAACTGATGATCAAATGCAATGTCTTTTTCCAGGATCCAGGAAGAATTTGGCCGGGAAAAAGGATGGCTGGTCACATGGGAAACAAGAATTGCACAAAATTTGCTGTTAGGGTAAGTGTGAGTATTTTCACAGATAGCATACTAGTGTAAACCCAGTTAAGACCAAAAGGTGCGTTCAAACGTGTGTTACAATATTAATTTGAATACATTATGTTCATCAGTTGTAAGGAGAAGGAAAACCGTTCAACAAAAATCGGGTGCTTACAGGGGAAAAGATACCTGTACTGCATTATTTAAGTTATGGCATGTCATATTAGTAAATTTTGGATTTTGAAATAAGGTTTTGACAACAAAGCTCAACACTTTAAAGGTAAAAGTGACGGAAGTTAAATTTCTTTCATTTGTAATATTTTCATTACTATGCTTTTGACGCAACATTTTGATACTTTTTTTCCCTTGTCTTGTTTCGTCACTTAATGAGCATCATTAATTTTCGCCTTTTAGATTCTACGCATCAACACTAAGTACAATGTCTTGTACATAAAGGGAGAATGTCCAGGGGAGAAAGGAGGCTTTATAGTGATCAGTGATGCTTGGAAGAAGCATGATCGACCCCCACCCTTCCCTACTTACTTTCCAGATCCTGAGAACCCCCTCCCCGAGGATTTGTACGCGGATGATGTGCAACATTTTGACCAGACGATTTATTTCAGCAAAGACAAGAAGAGTGGAAGGGCATAGGGAGTCTTCTAAGTGTTGTTTAGAACGAAAAAAGATTGTGTTCATAAATTTGGCGAGGGAGTTGAGAGGTGATTACGTATTCAATCATTTACTGTAATCGTTTGTGCAACGCCAAGGAAATGATGTGAAAAATGAAATAAAATACATTGTATTAAAGGCTGCGACTTCTTGATCCTGTTTATTTAGTATTAAGGCGAAGCAACGCGGCGGCCATCGCTTTGGAAAAGACTGAAGGAGGTTAAACAAGAATCGCCGAAAGGCGATTTTAACTGGGCTGCCAGGGGGCGATTTTTTTCTGAGGGGAGGGGGCGGCTGTACGCACTCAGGCTACCAGAACACCTCGTCGCCGACCATTACGTCGCATAGAATCTCATGTTAGAGTGAAACATAAACTCATTTGAACTTGTACCCTTTAGAAGACTTTCGTAACAAGAATAATGAGTACCATTTTTAAGTTGTATAGTAACTTTTAAATTCCACCATTATGAATTAAAACAAGTAAGTTAGCCATTCTAAGCAGGAAACCAGTTGCATTATTTTCACACACTCCTTCCCCAATCCCTCTGCCCTCCAAAATATATCGTGACAGTATAACGTCACTATTTTGACTAAACCGGAAATTCCAAAAATTATTGTCGTTCTACGGGTCATAAAAAGCGACAGGGTCAGCTATACTGTTAACAAGCAGTACATTTCTCAATTGTGGTTCTTAAAACTAACAAAGCAAATTACATTTCAGTTTTGTTTTGACTATAAGATTGCGTTTAAAGCCTTCCTATAAGCTGTCCAAGTGAATATATGTATATATATTTTTGTGGACGTGACGATCTACAATGAGCACATTCCTTTCCTGTAAGGCATGACTTTTCACACTCAGAGCAAGATGAATCGCAATGAGAGACATTGGCCGTCACATTTTAAACGGTTTAAACTTCAACATAAAGCGAAGAGAAACCTCGAAAGCGATCCATCCTACCATCTTTTGAAGAAGGCTGAAAATAAGTGCCAGTGATAGCTTGAGGGCCGTCTTTATTCAATACATGTACACACACACACATACTTTAGCTACACACAGAGAGATTTACAATCACGTTTTGGAAGGGAAAAAACTCATGAAAAAGTTTAAACTTCAACAAAAAGTGAAGAAAAACCCCAAAAGTTACTCATCGTAGCATCTTTTGAAGGAGACGATGAAATGCGCAGTACGCTAGCTTCAAACACATCTTCATTTAATGGCTGCCTTCGATTAACAATCGTTACTAAGTTAATAATTGATAGTGTTCATTTTAAGGACAGAAATCCCCGGGGGGTGGGGGTACTCTCTTACATTGACCTTATAGATATTGCTCTGAAAAAGTGAAAAGATTAGGAGAGCCCGACAGCAAACCGCCACTACGACTTCCTAGAAATACTCACCCCCGCCCCGAGAAGAAAATGGAACGTATTTCATAAACTGGGTTGGCCATAGGCAGGCCAGTTAACAAGCGATGGACATGGGGTTGCGTAACATGTCCCCCAGGACCACATACCGCACCCCGAATGTTAAAATCAAATATTATAGGGGGCATTATAGGGCATTGTAAGCGAGTCGCCCAGCAAAAATGTTCGTGCGTTTGATGTTTTCATACAGAGACAAAGTAACAAAAATAAATGAAAACCCACAAAAATAGTTCATTCGGTCCCTAATATGCTACTTTCCATTATATTAAAGTCGCTCGACAGTAACAACCATTTTCCTTTTTTTGCGCAAGAGTCACTCAACATTTAAATGATCAACACACTTACTCGATCAACTGTAGTTTCTGCGCAGTTTCTTCGCTTTCGGAGGTTCGAGATAAACGTACACAATATTCACCCTTTGTGCGCACTTCGCACTGACGCGAAAAAAATCCCTTCTCTCGATTCCTTACAATGAAGTTTTAGCACAGAGTACAAAGTCTCCGAGTTGAACACGTCGCCGCCGGGGAGCTATGGAAAAGCGACCTGGGGATAAGGTTGCCAGTTTCTCTGCAAGTGCAACAAGTGCCAACGGTGTTACAGTGATATGGGCTTCCCCGCGTTTTGGGTATCCCCATTCCCAAAACCCTAGTGATATGGGTATCCCCTGTAGCACTAACCCTAACCCAAATCGCTAAGGTAATATCAGAAGGGGATGTCCTTATCACTAGGGTTTTGGGAATGGGGATGCCCAAAACGCGGGCATGCCCATATCACACACTGTAACAACGGTTTAATTTTATTTCCGAGGCACTTTACGCAAGTCCACTAATTTGTATACCCAAAATACTTTGCTATGCTTACGTGTTCCTAATGTCTGAACATGGCATTTATTTCTGCCAGTAACCAACGTAAAGCATCAAGTGTTACCATTGATAGCCATGGTGTTTTAATGAATTATCGCTAGTAATATCTGCCACTCAAACTCCTGCTGCTTTAAACCCGACAGCTATAACGTCCAAGATATCACAACTGTAATTTTTCATAACTTTATTCTAACAATTATGGTCCTTTTCATTTGCTGCTTCGATTTAGCGATTGTTGGCTGGAAAAAATACTGTTTTATATGCTGGCGTAGGAAACGAGAACGATTTCGACAATAACCACAAAGGTGTCCGTCCTTCAACGACCGACCCATCCTCGGAGACCCAGGGGCAGATAGTGGCTTTACTTTTCTTCGCGCCATTTTTCCCTCCCGTTTAGACTTTCCCTTGCTCCCACTATCTGTCCCTGGCTCTCCGAGGATGCGACCGACCTGAAAGTACTACCCTAAGTCCCCTCATGAGGATATTCCACGAAATTTTATCTATACAAAACAGAGAATCAGAATCAGGGTTATTGCAAACAGCAAACATCAGGTTCAGGTCGACAATTTATAAAATGAGGAAATAAGCAGATTAAAAGAGTGCAAAAAGACTAACAGGGATGAATTGAATGTGGCATTGATAGCGCCTGGTTCGTAACGTCTTGATATATATTTCTGTTCCCATGTCTGTGAAACTATTTTTTTGGTGTAGCTATAATTATTATTAGTGAATAGGAAACAACAAATAATGGGAACACTTAGATGAGGTCACATGGTACAATATTGATTGAATTTGCCGGTTGCCGCAAACAGGATTCTCACCTACCTAGTGATTAAAACACGACGAAAAGTTACATACTTTTACTATGTAAAGCAAACTCTACACCACAAGGTAAAAATCAAATAACTTTATTTTATTGTTGTTTCTGTCTCGCCGCTTTAAATCGTGAAGTTTTTTTCCCAGGTTGTGCTTTGTTCATCTGTAAAAACAACAAGCAACAAGGGCGGCATTATAATAGTGACGAAAGAATAAAGGGTAAAAGTGAGATCAGAGCAACGTAGCCTACGAATATAGGCGTTTCTCCTGGAACGTCTGCAACTCAGCGACAGAAATTCCATACTGACGACGTAAATCAACTACTACGTCGACCAATCAGAGTTCCTGACGAGATTTCGGACAGATTTTACGTCATCACATGGAATTTCTGTCGCTGAGTCGCAGACGTTCCATCTCGCTGGCGAAACGTCCTTAGCGGCGAGGAGCAAGGAGAAACGGCTGTATTCACTGGCTAAGAGCAACATAGTACTTTACATCGCCAACACATGAAAAACTGAAGTGTTAAATTAAAGACTCAGGATTTTCCATCCGTCCAAAAAAGGGATTGTAGAAAGGATATCCTTCTGCGACACGGATTTCAATTATAACAGAAAGATCTTGTCATGAAATCGGTTTTTCGGGAACGATAAGGAAATCCAGGGTAAATTCAATAAAACTTTTACAAGTGTAACTTACAAGCGTAGCTATTGATTTCAGACTCTAGAACAATAGCTACACTTGTAAATTACGCTTTTAAAAGTTTTATTATTAAATTGACCCCCCCGGATTTGCGAATCGAACGCAACGTAACCAACTGTTGTGAGAATAATAACAGGAACATTGCATCAATACATTTCCCTCCTAATGTACACAAGTTTCAAGTTTTTAAAAATCATGGCAATAAAATTCATGTAAGTTGGCGTTTAAGTTCATCAAATCAAACTGACATAAATTTTATTGTTATAAGTGCAGGTAAACGAATATTCTTGCACTCAAATTTGCCCCAACTTCTATGTTCAAGACAAATCTCGCACAAGGTTGGCGAGACAATCTCGTGTTTAAAACAAATAAAAATCAGGTAAATCTGATGTAATAACCTGGGATGCACTGGAATCATGCTGTTCACTTTGTACAGATGGCTTTTCAAATATGGTTCCTGTAAATGCCTATGAAAGTAATAGTTAAGGAATGATGAGTGAAATATGAAATACTCTTTCCCTTTGGAATTCTGAATTGAACAAACAGTTGCTGTTGGGGTTAGACTACCGATAAGGCCTCTTTATGTGGAGAAAAGTAGTTCCGGGAAGGACGGTCACCTTCCCAGCCGAGTCAACTTTAGCGAGCGTTAATATGAGAAAAAAGTTGACCTCTTTGCCAAAGTGAAGGGCAGACAGCAGCGGCACTTGCGCATGCTTTGGTTTTCTTGCCTTTACCCGGTTGACCTGCCTTGGTAAGCCAAAGTGTTTGTATTTGAAGAAAAGTTGGTCCCACTACGATCTGGTGCAAACCATAAAAAAGGGTCACCCAGCAAGGCAGGTCACCTTTTTAGCTGAGCCAACTTTTTGTTCCTCCAGTAAATGGTTCGCCAAGTTTTCATACAAAAGTCGTTTCGATACAATTTCAAGCTGTGAAATTGCACAAAAATTTTGTTCACTTTAAGTACAGTTTGCGAGTAAATAAGAAAAACATTTTGGGTGAATATCTTCGTTCTGCCAAGTACATGGAACTATTTACACCTCAAATGAATAAACTGAATCAAAACGACTTGTACTGAAATAACGGGCAACCGCTCAGGCTAGCGTGGGTAGGCGATTTACCCTTCTAATTAGGGCAGGTTTTCTCCATATAATCTGGGATATACTCTCAAGGAAAGAACGATTGGGGAGAATTTGCCTGAATTTTCATTTGGTACAAGGTAACACCAAGCGGCCTCAAGAATCAGGCTACGCAGGAATGCACAATCAACAAGCGGATGAATAGCATATTTCTTTCTGGAATGGACATTTCAATCTTTATCTGTATACGCTTTGAGTGGTAATATGCTCGGTGTGACATAGCAGTTGAACGATAAACATGATCTGACCAAATAACTGGTTGCCTGGTTTTCAGAAAACAAGGTTGTCTGCTTTGAACTGAATTCACAGTCCTCAGTATAAGCATGGAAACATATTCATCATAAAACCAAGCAAGATAGTAGTCTGAACAGTCGAAGGGTGAAGCATGGCATACAAGAGTCAAACTGAAAAGAACAGAGCATTAAATTTGATACCAAACATCCAAAGGTGTAGGTATTGCCCCATACTTACACAAGCAATTAATGAAACAGGAACAGTTCTTGTAGACTGTCCACAGTCCCCCGTTTCTTAGTAAGATAGTCAGGATCGGAGGCTTACTGGTACGGGCGACGATCTTGGTTTTTTTTGTATCAAAGGGGTGGGCATTGGAGTTTATAGCAGTGGGGTAGGGAGGTGCGAAAAACCGTCTGCTGTCATCTAAGTAGATTTGACACTCATCCAAGATGGCTGCCCATAACGCAAAACGCTTGATCTCGACAATCTTGCAGAAAAATCGGGTTCTGTGAACAGTCTACAGTCCTTGGAAAATATTCTACATTCTAGTCTCTAGTCCAAGGTCAGGAATAAACATTCACTGTCATAATAAAGGATGATTTCCTATTAGTAAGACAGCACCCCTAAATGCCTATTTGTGGCTGCTGTATTTCTCAAACACTGTATATGTCAAACATTCTGTAAACTAACAGGAACTAACATATTACCTTTTGAAGATCAAAATCCTTTTCTGTTTTTTCTTTTATTGTACCAGCCTGCACCTCCGCAGTTAAAGCAACTTGATCTTTTGATGCTTGTTTCTTTTTTCCTTCACTGGAAGGCTTTCTAAGGATGGATTTCAACTCCTGTTTGGGTGTGAACTGGGAGTAGAGATCTGCAGGAGTAACCACAGATCGTTCCTTTAAATTCTGATCTAAGCTCTGCAAAAAAACAAACAAACAAATAAACAAACAAATTGACTACAGTAAAACAAAGCCTGAGAAAACAGCTGACATTTTGCAATGGCACCACTGGTTTCCACACAAAAAAAAAAAGATGCGTGAGAAACAACTGCAGAAATTCCATACTGATGACGTGTGAATACCCAGATCTGGGTGGTGATTCTGATTGCTTGAAAATTTACTTCAACCAATGAGAAGCACTACCCAGCTCTTGGTAGTGACGCGTCATCAGTATGGAATTTCTGCAATCGTTTCTCAGATATAATTTCAGGGGAAACTAGTGGTGGCCTCACAAAATGTCGGCTGTTTTCTCAGGTTAAGTAAAACACTGCATCAAGCAAATACTGTGTCTGTGAGAATAAAGTAATAGTTGAACTTGATTAGAGAAATTTTCAAATGTTTCAGATTGGTTTAAATCAAATGGTGAGCTGTTTCAAAGTTGTAAAGAACCGGATGGTGTAGGGTTGTGGAGCGGGAAGTTAGCTCACAGAGCTTTTTTGAGAATATTTTGTTCCATTGCCATTTGTAAACTTATCACTAAACTATGTACACCCAGGAATATGGGAGTACAGTCAACTCTCTCATAAGAGACCACCCTATGTGCACGATAAAGTGGTCGCTTACAGGAGGTGGTTGTCTATGGGAAAAATCAAGATATTAAGCAAACCAAACTGATTAACATAACTACATAAAGTTATTCCCTTACAACTGAAAATTAGTCAAATAGGCAACTGGCAATAAAGTTTCACTATAGAGAACTTGGAGCTACTGAAACTTTGTACATAACATTTTGCATCAATGTAACAATCCATTTTTTACCCACAGATTGTGTCGCAGTGATCTTTTTTTTATGTCAACACACATTCGGTGAAAACAGTCACGAATAATGCATCATTTTAAAAATGCTTTACATGCATCATTTTTAAAATCTCCATTATTTTAAAAAAGTTGCAGATACGTGTGGATGGGGCCTAAGTTGGACATTGTCCAATAACCAGATGTTATTTGCAGCTCTGCCCTGTTTACTTTACCTTGTCATCAAGAACCTGTCCATGTGACAACGTTGATGAATGGCTAAACTTGACAGCAATAGTTCTTCGTCCATCTTCATCATCATCATCACTATCATCATCAGAATCACCAACATTTCCATCAGCATCTTTCTTATCATCATCATCTCCCCATGTGACTTTCTTCTTGTTGTTATCATCACTTAGTGTCATCAATGACGGCACCCACCTCACATCATCTTCTTTTTTCCTATATTCACTGTCAGTCTTGATTTCAGTCTTCTCTTCATCCAAAAATTGATCAAGTTCAGCATTGGCAGTTTCTGTTTTTTCTAGTTCATCTAATCTTGCAAACAATGCTAAATCATCAGTTACAATAGCTTTTTTCTTTATGTCCTTTTGTGTTGAATTATGATCCTTTATACTGCTCTTTAGTCCTTCAACTCTTTTAGAACCACCAAACTGTTTAGCTTTGGGATGGGCCTTTCGAGTACCTCTGTCTGCAAAGAAAAGCAGGACCACTCTATAACTGACAGAATACAACAACCAGAATCACTTTCAGACTTTCTACGCAGTCTGTGAAGGAAAAAAGTATTGTTGGCCACTAGACTTAATGCATGGTGCTGCATTTAACACCACTTCAACAAACAACACCAATTTCATGGTTTTCAGTTCATCAGACCAAACCAACATCAAGCAAAGTGCTCTCTGGGCTAAATCTTGTATGATCATCATTAAACCACTAAAAATGGGAAGGGTGGGATATGTTGGGGTGAGATTGGCAAGCTGTGGTGTGGTATATGCCTTGTATTTACAGAATGAGCCAGCTGTTATTCTCTTTGCATCATTTTAACAACATTCTCTTCAAAATGTCATCCATAGATCTACCTATACATCAAAAAAGTAACTTATCAGCTAAACACTCAACTCTATTTCTAGTGACAAATAAACTTGAGTAAATAAGAATCTCTTTGGTAGCATGTTCCAGGGCCTGCATTCCCATAATAAGGAGGGCATGAACAGAGGAGTGGACCAGGAAAAAAGGAAAGGAACTCTGATTCATGGTTTTACACCTTTTCCTGTTACTGTGCCCTTGGGGTACCTGTGCCCTGACTAGTGCTTACTTAGCAGCCTCTCTTCATCTTGAATGGAGAGTTCTTCCTTGATTTCTTTAACATCAGAATTACCCTGGCAAAAAATAATAAAGGACGGCAAGCATGTATAAAATGCACTAAATTATGAACTGTTCTAGTCAGCTAGAAATTTTGGCTGGTGAATGCATAATAAACCTGTCATTATTAATGTGTAGCATATCATACTGTATAATTTTCAGGATCATGAGTTACTCATCACTGTATTCAGGATAAGCATGGAAACATTATTTTCATCATCAAATTATACAGCTGATGGCAGCAGGCATTTCTTTAACCATTTACAGTCAAAACAACCATTCAAAATCACAAAAAATACAAAATCAACAATATGTAAATAAAAATTGATAGAAGAACATGTATTAAATTCCTTAGGTTCCTCAGAAAATTTGTAGGATGGGAAACTGCCTCTGCTTGATTTTTAAAATCAGATTTAAAGTACTAAGAAGCCTAACTTCTGGCTGGTAATTTCCAATGTCCAAAGAATCTTCATTCTACCCCCTGTAGAATTTTATAAGGACCTTCAACAATGGGGGTTTACAATCAATATTAGAAAACTTTTCTTGCATACAAAATTTTTTAGAAACAGTAAATAAATTATTTCAGGGAGGAAAGGACTGATTGGATGGGTGCTCTAAAATATGATCTTGTGATAAAGTGTTCCA